ATCTTTAGTAAATGCAATCATCTTTACTCGAGTCTGATGCCCATCTCTTCTCTAGTAAATACAAATACTAGGCCGGCAAGTTATCGTATTCTACAGGCATTTCCTCATAGTCAAGGATATAGTCTGCCATAAGGTCAAAATCGACCCCATCGCCTGAGAGACTCTGCTTAATCTCCTCTGGCACCCAAATCGCCTGATCCACGCCTAAGTTACTTGAATGAAGGGCTTCTGCACTCTCCCAATTCTCTATGGGCCGGAGAACTGCAAATCGGTCCCGCCGCCGTCCTGAAAAGCCCTTTTGAGCTTCTTGCTGCTTAACCTCCCAGGTAGCAAGCAATGGTTGGCTCGGATCGCCGTAGAGGTGGGCCTCTCGGCGGAACAGCCCGGTATCGGCATACTGTGGGCCTTGCACGACGCCAATGGTAGGATTAGGATGACGTTCAAGCTCCGAGCGTTCCAGGTATGAGTGCCCTCTTTCAGAGCCAGTTTCAACCTCAATGGGTTTGCCATCAGCGTCGTGGCTAGGCGGAGCAGGCTCCGGGTGTCGTATTATGGGTGTCGGACGCCGGACTCGTTTTAGATCTCGGGAACCCTGAAGCCTCAGTTGCACAAACGATGCCGGCTTTTGCTCCTCCTCCTCTAGAGACAGCATAAAAACGCGACCACTAGCGTCCCCAACCACAAGCCTTGACCGGTCTGGGGAGAACATCCCCGATGTGATTGGTGCGGGAGCCTCAAGCAAGTTTCGGACCAATGGGTTGCCATGTGTCCGGACGTTCCAGACCTTCACAATGCCATCTGATGACCCGGTGTAGAAGCGATCAGGCGTAGTACCCCAGGCGGTGAATTTCACACCCACATCCTCTCGTTCTCTATCTACCCGGTACTCATCGATAGGCTTGCCATGACGAAGGACGTGAAGCGGCTTGTCGCTGATGGCTGTATCCCAGACATATGTACAACCGTCTGTGCACCCTGCGGTGATATAGCAGTACGTGTAGCTGTTGGGCCTATGAACAGTCAGCAAGATCTTAAGAGAAACCACAGCGAATCAACTTACATGATGCTGAGCTCATTGATGTCCAGAGCCATGCAATCTAGAACCTTGAAGGGGCTGAATGCTTTGCTACCGTATTCGGCCTTGTCAGCGGGACGGAATATCCGGATCTGTGTTCGCACACTAGGCTCCAGGTCAAGGCCCAAAGGCGATGTGGCTGCAATGAAGCTCGGCTGGCTAGGGTGCCAGAGAACTTCAAATACATTTTGAGTCGTAGCGGAAGTTATCCGCCATCTCTCGCCTGTGAGACCATCCCACAAACACAGCTCTCCGGTATCTCGCCGGTCTTCGGGGATGTCATTATCATCATCCGTTCGGCTTCTTGGCGAATATCCTACCAGAAGCAAATGCTTCACGTCTTCAGAAAGGCCCCACTGCATTGTAGCAGGGTAGTAGGCCCATTTTTCCGTCGAAACCGTATTCCCTTCGGCGTCCGTAACGCGGGAGCAAGAATAAGATCGGAACGAGCTTTTCGAAATGTTGTCTTCGTTGATGCTGTAGATACGGACAGCATCCACTGCTACATCCGCGGCTGTAGCGACCAAGCCGGATGCATGCTTGGATGCAGCGACAAAGTTCACGTTTCCACCATGTTTCCACTCGCCCAAGAGACTCATGGAAGCCCCAGATGGTTCAACTTGCCAGATTTTTACCGATCTGTCGAATCCTGAGGTAAAAGCCCGGGCGTGAACGGCATCGTAGTCGGATGAGACTACCGAGGAGTAAAGCCATGGGTCTTGACTCTGCCTCATCGCTTCAGTCGAGTTTTCCCCCTTAGTGACAATTGGACGGACGATTCGATGGTCAGGGTAGGCGCGGAGTGTACCCAGGCTACAAGAACCTAAGACGAGGTTTCCCGGCTTATTGTACTGTTGGTTATGAGAGTCCGAGTGCTCGGTTGTGCCGCAAATGAAGCCGTCATTCGAGACCCAGGTGATAGTCGCAATGTCACCAGCACAACCCGTCCATTCGGCTCTCAGCTCCAGTGACTCCTCGCGAGACTTGCGGAACTCGTTATTGAAGTGGACAAGGCGCCTCATAGCCCCAAAACCCCTTTGCCCGTGGATCTCTCGGGCATGGAGGAGAGCCTGGACTCGGCTGGTCTTGGCCAAATCGACCCGCCGATCGCGGTTGTCCCGCTGAATGCGGAGCAGAGCTGGGTCTGGCCTGGTCTTGCGGCCAATGACATCTCGGAAAAACTTGTCCAGATCGGTCCTCCTCCTGGAGGGGAGTCTCCTCTCGTGTGCCACTGCATCTAAGATCCTCGAGATGTGACTTTGATTCCTTTTCAGCATTTTCTCCAGGTCCCTCAATGGGTCCTTCACCACCTTGTCGGTCGAAAGCCCCAAGGTTTTCCGGGTCAAAGCCCTGAGATATCTGACTTCATCCAATGTGAAGTCAGCGTGGAAAGTGGCTGGAGAGAGAAGGGAGGAGGCGCCCAGCAGAACCGGTCGGCGAGCGCCGCTCAGAATCTGCGCCCTCTCCGCTGCTGTAATGTATGGTTGCTGGGCTCGGGGATTCAACGTAGATTTCTCAGAAATGGCAGCCGCAGGCTTCTGGAGAGGGCTAGCCGCATGCTTCACGAGAGGGGTAGCCGTGGGTTTCTGGAGAGGTGCAGCCGCGGGCTTCTCGAGAGGGGTAGCCGTGGGCTTCTCGAGAGGTGCAGCCACGGGCTTCTCGAGAGGGACAGCCGCGGGCTTCTGGAGAGTGGTAGCCGTGGGCTTCTGAATAGGTGCAGCCGCGGGCTTCTCAAGAGCGACGGCCGGGGGCTTTGTAGGTTTAGTAATCACTGGCTCCTCTACGGCCACGGGCCTCTCCAACGGAACCTTGTCCTCGTCATCGTCATCGATGATGATGATGGTCTTTTCTGCTTTGGAAGGACTGGTGGGGGCTAGAGAATTCCGTCTCTGTGAATCCGTGACGCCATTCTGCACCCCGAGCACTTTTGAAGGCGACTGGCGAGGTATAGTCGGTAGCGGAATTGGCGACGACGAGTACCGGGGGGGCGTCGGTGTCGTTGAGTCAGCTAGGCTTGACGCGGGGCGATATGCAACGCGCGGACCGATCGGACTGGGTAGCGGCGCTGAGGATACCGGGTTGAGCGGGGGCAACTGGTAGAACTGAGCCGAGAGAAGGTTAGCAAGCAGCCGCTAAACTAGGCGTTGCGGATAAACAACAGAGAAAAGGCGCGCGCACAGTCTGGGTGGAGAGCGACCGCGCTTCCATGGACGCGCGTAGGGCCAACTTGGCTTCGTACTCCGCACTGAGCCTCCCATTGCCGCGTTTGTATTCAGTCGTGAATTCCGGGCCGGTCAAGATTGCTATGATCTGGCAGAAGCACAACGTTGAGAAAAGAATTGAAAAAGATAGGGTAGGCGGAGAGAGGCAATGGGCGTCAGGCAAGGGCCACCGGGCTGCACTGGGGCTGCACTTACTCGCTTTCCAATTTCGAGCGTATTCACTCTGTCTTTCGGCAAGGCCGCGATGGCCGAGTCGACGTAGGGGAAAACTTGGCTCTCAAGGCATCTGGTGAGGCTCGAGGCCTCTGCTCCAGGCCCGAGCCTCAATCGTTTGGCCGGACGCTCCGGCGGAAGCGCGTCATCCTCCCGAGCCTCGGCAGCGCGAATCAATGAACTCAACTCTGGCCTAGATGCAATCGTCAATAAGGCACGAGCCCTCAATGCAAGAACGGCGGCTTGATGGATTTGGACACGTGTAGAAGGTGGTGTTGTCGTCGTGGAGCTCATCTGCAAAGACGCTGTGAGGCCAAAGGCCCGGGCAGTCTAGGTAGGAACAGAAAAGCTCTAAACGCTCTAAAAAGGATATCGATCCCATAAAACGCGCAAAAGATGAATGCCCAACATCGAACAAATCGAATTATATAAGGAGGAGGTATGCAGGTAGGATTTATACATACTTGTGATCCATTGGGGCCTTGGAAAGTTGTTGTTAGAGAAAAGGCTAAGGATAAAATTAGCAAAGATCTAAGGCCCTAAAAAAGAACTAGAATTAACTAGGCTAAATATAGAATCCATAGTATAAGAGATTAAGTAATTAATTAGTAAGCAATCCATTTTTAAAGGTAATAACGGATAATAACTAATTAAAAGAAGTATCTTTAATATTTGCATTTATATATATATATATATATATAAGCAGTAAGCTATTTCTTTTAATCTTTAAACAACCAACAACTACTGGATTTAAGTTTGCAGAATCGAATATTTTTCTAATGAGTATACTTGATGCGCATTATTGCATTGAGAGACAGGCTAGCTTGGAGAAATAGTCGAAGTCGTAACTGGAGTAGCTCCTTCCTCTATGTGCAAATATGCCTTGAGATGAAAGAGAAACATATGTAAGTTGCAGCGTCCCCCAAAATATTCCAACTTTCTTAAAACTCCTACTGCAGTGCTAGGTAGCTGAAACCAGGTTTACATGTCTTAGGAATACATTATAGCATACACTAACAATCTTCATACCGTTTCTAAAGCCTTTAAATACAGTTAATAAGCAACGGAGCTGAGGCGCGGCTGCGATATCATTTTGTAGCACAACTGCAACTCAGTGTTGCCCCCGGCTGCACGTGACAGCGCGATACATATCAACGCGTAGTTGTTAGGCTAAAGAGACCTTTGCCTACACCATACTTTTGACAAGCCTGGATTTCAACTGGGAACAATGAAATAGACCTCGTTTTCTGTCTGTTATTATTCTCATAGTGCTGTATAGTTGCATAGAGACTCAACCTCAAATGGAGGACAACTGAACTACAAGGACACCGCTCCCTCGCCAAACAATCCGCTTAGTAAGCTATACACATCAACGCTGCCCTACTAGGCATGAAGTTATGCAATAGGAAGCTCCCAAAAGGGGCCTTAAATATGGTATACTAGCAGTTGAGCAAAATCTACAGCTTCGGCTTCTCGGTCACTTGAGCTGCAATCTCCTCGTACATGCGGTCAATCTCTTTGCGGAACGCCCTCACGGCTTGAGGACGCTTGAGCTTTAGCCTGTTGCACGACCAGTAGGTTAGAATTTATGTCGACATTGGATCGAAGAGAGTTCGGATCAAAGGGAGTAGGGATCGAAGGAGAAATAAGGGACGATCATTGTAAAGATGACAGGGGGTTAGAAGCCGGAGTGCGAGCAGGTGAAACTTACGTCGGGGTCAACAGCTCGTTCTCGATCGAAAACGGTTCGATGTCGAGGTAGCAGTTCTTGACCTTTTCGAAGCTGTGAAACTTGTGTTTCTTGCCAATCTGGTCCAGCAACTTGAGGAATGCGCCCTTGACGCGCGGGTCGTTCGCCGCCCTCTTGAGCTCCTCCTTGTCCTCAGCTGACACGGTCCGCTTCAATATCTTGCTCGCAAACGGCGCAAAGTGCAACGGGTCGATGCCAAACACAGCCACCAGGCATGCCTCCTTGGGATCGCCGTGCACAAACGCCATGGTGATCAGGTTGGTGCTGCCCATGTAGACGTTCTCGATGCGCTCTGGCGAGATGTACTCGCCCTGGGCCAGCTTCAGCACATTCTTCTTGCGGTCGATGATCTTGAAGCGGCCCATGCTGTCTACTTCCACGATATCGCCCGTGTGGAACCAGCCATCAGGCTCGATTGTCTTGGCAGTCTCCTCGGGATTGCGGTAATATTCCCTGAAAATGATGGGTCCACGCATCAGCAGCTCGCCACGCGGGTTGGGCTTATCGCGCACCGTGTAATCGTAGTCGGGTACCGACTCAATGCAGAGTTCGACCGAGGGGCACGGGGGCCCGATGTTGCCCGTGGTGAAGTCGTTGAGCGCCTGGACGGTGCCCACGGCGTATGTTTCGGTCATGCCGAAGCCCTGAATAAACCTGTTGCCGAATGCGGCGCGCAGAAACTGGTGCACGTCGGGATCCAACTGCGCGCTGCCGCTGACCATGGTGCGAGCTCGCTGTAAGCCCACACCCTTCAACACCTTGGGCGTCCAGATGCGGTCGTATAAGAAGTGCCTGTTGGTCGCCTGACCAGGCGGCAGCGCCATGCTGGCCTTCTTTGTCTCGATGACGCGGCGCGATAAGGCGCCCTTGAAACCGTCCGCCTCGATTGTCGCCGCTTGGATGCCCGAGCTGATGCGGTTGTACAGGCGAGGCACAGACATCAGCCCCGACGGCCGGAGGAGCTTCATGTCTTCCACCAGAGCCGCGATGTCGCCATGGAAATAGCCAACGCTCGCGCCCTCAGCCAGCGCCATTTGGTCCGCCATGCGGCCATAGATGTGCGCTAGAGGTAGATAGGAAATATGGAAGTCGCCGGGCTGGCAGCTGTTATTTGCGCGCGCGGCTGTGATACCGGCGACACCGTTTGCGTGGGTGAGGACAACGCCCTTCGGGTCCCCAGTGGTGCCCGAGGTGTAGTTGATGGTCAGGATGTCGTCAGCCTTGGGAGGTCGCATGGCGCGGCCAGAACGCGCCCCCAGAGCCTCGACCTGGTCCATCGAGAAGATCTGGATGCCGAGGTCTGCGGCCGTAGCGTTCAGCAGCGAGAGCTTGGAGTGGCCCGCCATCTCGCCCGCCTCGAGAGGATCGAGTGAAATAATAAGCTTCAAAGAGGGAACGCGGGGCGCCATCTTCAGCAGCTTTGGGATATGGGGAAGGGATGCGACGACGCAAGCCAGCGAGCCGTGGTTGATGATGTACTCGCTCGCTTCCGGGCCCAGCGTCTCGTAGAGTGAGACGGGCCAGAGCGACTGGGAAAGCAGAGCGAACTCGGTGATCTGCCACTCGGGCCGGTTCTGCGCCCAAAGGCCGACGCCATACTTGTCCTCCGTAATGCCAATCTGCTTATGAAGCTCAACAATGCCGGCACCAAAGTTCTTCCTTCGCTCGGCAACCTCAGCGTACGTTAGCCAGACATACTTGGGCTCCCACGTCTTTGTGACGGGGTTCCACGGCCTCCAACCCAAGCATTTGTTCTTGGGAAAATGTTTCACCGAAGACTCGAATAGGTCATGCATGGTTCTCTCGGCCGGATCGTACGTCTCCAGGAGGGGGCCGTTCTGAAACCGCCAGTTGCGGTAGATTGCGGTGCGGTTCGGGCGCTCAGTGCCAGGAATGGGCAGAGCGTAGGGAGCGCCCGGCGGCGGCGGTTCCGCGAGCGATCTGATATACGCCTTGGTTTCCTGCCTGCTGCGAGACATGGCTGCTGATGACGATGGTCTGAATCAGCTCGGGGGGAAATGGTGAGCAGTGTAGGAGAAGGTGTGAGGTCCAAACAGGCCGATTGCGTAGGCGCTGAATGGGACAACGAGAGCTGTTCGGGTTGCTGCGTGGAGGCGTCGCGTCAAGGCTGCAGACTGAGTTGAGGGCTGGTTGGAGAGAGTAGGAAATTCACAACGACCGTGAGGTGTTCGATTTTACCCTTTTCGAGTGTCGGCTCTCGGCAGCATGTGGTTTCCCCAGTGCGCAGCTGGGCCGAGCAAACAGGGATCTGGAGGCAGGATGGAGTCGCTGAGCCGAGGGGTACCTAGAGTCGAATCTCCAAGCTATGGTTGCCGAGGGAATTCTCAGCGCCCGGACAATCAATATCAAATATAAATGTATCCTAGATTTCTCCAGGGTCTGCAGGACGGTCTCCAACCAGTGCTTTTGACTTTGACACACAGTTATGGTTGCTGTTGCCAGTCAATGTCAACAAGCTGCTTAGGCCGTGCGTACCACAGCAAGGACTTGAGCGCAATCCAGCCTCGGCTGCGATGTTTCGGGGGTGTGGGGCCCTGGAGCCGAATGAATGGAGAAAGTGGGATTCGACTCAGTAATCCATTGTCATCCACTGGATAGAAGAGCTGAGCGTGGCCATCAACGTCTGCCGACGGCAGTCATTGTCTCCACGAAGGATTTACTACCAGGTTCTCACATTCGTCTATTCCATAGAGTCGGCGCCATGATGTTGACTAGATGCGACACAAGGGAGAACGACAAACGACTGTCATGTCGAACTAGCGCATGTAGTGTAATACCGGTATGGAACCCGTCAACAACGAAAAATGTACGTACTACCGTACGTATCGGGGTCGATGCACTCCATTTTAGTGTAGAGCTTTGCCTCGGAGGCCAAAGATCAAGACCCGCAAAGCCCGTTGTGGATGGGAACAAGTTCCTGTCACAACAGAAAGAGAGTACCTGTTCTCTGAATATGTGCAGCCCGGTGTATCTCCAAACCGTCGATGGGTTCGCCATGTCTTATGTCAAGAGATGTGTCCGAGCGACCGGCCTAATAAATCGCTTGGTTTCCGGCAGCTGCAAGTTGCCTCGGGCGTGATCGCATCGATGAGACTTGGGTTGCCGAGGCATAGTTGGATGGAACTCTTTTGATCCTGGGTCCCACTCCAATGGCTAGAAGGGTTGGGGTTACTGCAGGCCACCCCGGCCAGGGGAATTTACCCCACGATTCAACTCCCGCTCGACAGGAGCTTGGCATGCCGCTTGACGCACGGATCAACAACATCATCCCAACACTTGCTGGCAGCTGAACCTACCGACTACGTAGCGGAATGCGGGAGCTAGAAGACAGCTTCCCACAACCAATCGTCCGTCCGCAGTTTGATACTCAGCATTCTTATATAGCTAGGTATGCCGTTCGGAGCACGCCCCCCCGGGCCATGTTAGGGGTTGGGTCAGGGCCAGGTTTTCCAACATCTGACAGTGGGCACAGATTTCACTTAGCATGAGGGCTTATACCAGCGAACAGGAAGGCGTGGAGAGGCATCCGTCGAACAATGCTTATTCGTCTTGAACTGGATACATCTTGAGGTGCTGTGGCGTTCACCCCGAACCTATCGTATGCGCAGACAGCGCTCGCCGGGGATTACCCGTACCGGGCCTCTTAGTCTTCAACAAACCAAGGATGCTCTAAGGCCTGCCGCGCCGCGATCCTCCGCAAAGGGTCCATGCAGGTCATCTTGCAGATGAGATCCCTAAACCCGGGGTCCACCTGCTGCCACCTCCCAAAGGGCAGCCTCGGCTCCTCCTCGCTGAAGGTATAGAGCAGGTCCTTGAGACGCCCGACAAACGGATTACCGTCTCCCCCGTGATACGCAATAAAGCCCTCGAAATCCTCCATCTCGCTGGCAAAGAACGACAAGTGGCGCCGGAGTATCAGGTGCGCCTGCTCCTCGGGGGAAGCACGGTTCGCCTCGTCGGAATAAAACACCATCCTCCCTGTCCACGCGAATATTGCCTGAGTGCCTGCCAGTCAGCACTTGTGTACTGCAAGGTATTTCAGCTCATGGAAGAACTCACGACGATGGCAAAGGAGTATATGTCTAATGGGGTGTTCTGGATCCCCCGAGCCCAAGCCTCAGGGCTTCTCCAGAAGTGGTTCCCCGATAACCGGTCTGTGAGGCCCTTGGCTTTGGGCGGCAGTATCACGGCAGATTCCAGGTCGGTGATCTGGACATTGCACCATCCAAGGTCGCCATTATCCTGATGGAAAGAATTCACCATGATATTTGTAGGCTTGATGTCTGTGAACCATATCAGCATACATATCAACACGATCATATAATAAGGTGGCTGACCGGTGTGGATGATGTGCTTGTCGTGCAGATCAGCGAGGCCAGTAAGAGCATCTCTTATGATGGCCTTTTTGGCGACGGAAGAAAGAGCTGAGATGTCGACATGGAGCAGTCCCTTCTCGAGATAGGGGAAGACGAGAATATGCCGCTCAGGAATGCTATCCACGGCTGTTCGAACATGGGAAGAGTGCTCGACATGCTTTTGTAGCGAAATAATGTAGTCGAAGTCGCCTGGAATGATGTCCTTGAGAATGAACTGCTTCCCCTCATGTCTGAGATGGGAGATCGCTCGGATTTTCTGTCTTTCTGGTCGTGGCACCGGACAAATGTCGAGGAAAGGGTCAACCTACGTCGCACTGTACACACACCAAGTCCTTCCAGCGGCACGTCGCTCGGAAAGCACTTGGTCAATGATATACCATTTGTCTAGACATGACTTGAGCTGTAGTCCTATGGGCAAGGGCTGCTGTCCGATACGTGTAGTGGACGTAGATGTGGAAATGGACGCTGGAGATGTGCTGCTAGATCGATAGGAATTGTGTGATGCCTGTTGAGGCGAATTTTGCAGACGAGAAACAGAGCGTGAAAGGGGGAATCGAGGACTGGTAAAGGGACGCGAGACGACGACGAAGCGTCCGCGCCGATAATTGGACTGCGCGCGCCATGGGAAAGTAAGTACATGCACAAGCAGAAAGACGTCATGAATGATTGTTTTGCAATTTTATATTTCGACCCCAATCCCTTGTCGCGAAGAGGCGTAACAGAGAGAGACGTTGACAGCTGAGCTTGTACCTACCTGTTGATTGTTACCATTCAATCAGATCCGCGATAGGTCGGTTTCGATAAGTTTCTTTGGGATTGGAACCGATAGTTCATTCTCCTGGCTTGGCGTCGGATATATCAAGCCCAGGTGGTATTTAAAGATTGGGACTTAAAGATTTGACGTGCATGATCCTATATCTGAACCAACATGTCAAGACCACCCGCCAGCATGGCAATGAAGCCTGGACTACATAACTAGGCCAACGGAAAGGGCGAGTGCCGGCATGGAAGCGGGAAGCTTGATGGTGCCCTACTACCTGCCTCAATGCTCTAACAACTGCGGCCATTGGACCGGTTAGGATCCCGTACCGTATACTCTATTCATGCATGGCCATGCTCCTGGAGATCCTGTTTCAAGTGGGCTTCAGAGGTTGCCAAACTGGTGAATTCAGTTGACGGCTCGGGTGAGTTCCCGGCTGTTGTTTGGCATGTTTGCTATGCTCAACCTTACATTTCTGGCAGTTCCCTCTGCTGGTAGTTTCCTACGTTCCTTCAGTTCTGTGATCCAAGTCTTTTCCTTGGTGTTAAGAAATTCTTCCCACTTCGTCGCTCCTTTCACCAGGTTTGCGTCTGCTGTACGTCTTGATATTTGATACATCTTGTTCAGCCAAGAATACCACATTTCGAAGATGAAATTCAACATGATGGTTCCTATTCGCATCATCCAGGGCCTCTTCGCCCTGGTGGTGATAAGCCTCTCAGGTTTCGGTATGGATATCTGCCGCATGATTGCAGAGCGCGCCGATGAGATCTTGAGCTTGAACTGACCTTGGAACCACAGTCGCTCACTGGTACGACTCGACTATGGTCGTATCCTCCCCGTCCCAACTAAACTTCCTCATTTTCGGCGGCGTCTGGTCACTCCTTTCACTGGCCTACATCTCGGTCATTCCGCGTTTCTTCCCAAAGGGTGAGCTTAGCTCCCCCTTTCTGGCCCTCCCTCTAGCTTGCTAACCAGCCGCCAGCTTCCAACTCATTCATCGCCTTTGGCGTCGAGGTCTCAAACGTGCTGTTCTGGTTCGCCGGTTTCGTTGCCCTCGCCGTCTTTCTCAGCAAGCTGTTCCTCTGCCACGGGCCAATCTGCCACTCGGCGCACGCCGATGTCATCTTCGCCGCCCTTTCATTTGCTATTTGGACTGCGTCGGCCGTACTCCAAGGCATGGACCTTTTCAAGACCGGGTTTCGCCAGCGGGCGCCGGTGCGGGCGCCGGTGCCGGCACCGATGAAAGAGACTGCGTAGGAGCATTCATTGGCTGGGCCAGGCGAAGAGGTATTGGAGACCCTGGTGGTATGATCAGTGCCGGGAATCAATTATTACCTCGAATCGCAACCTTGACCGCATCTGGTTTCAGGATGCATATCAGATCGAATGGCAGGCTGGTTGGCTCATGGTATGGCCGTGCCATAACCTTATTTCAGCCTCATGATTGCGCTTGTGGGCCGGTGACCCCGACGCCCGGTGCCTGGAGAGGACATTGATTGGCTTATTGTTTTGCACGCCATCTTCTGGGTTCTGAATGGTGTGCTGGTGGACGAGGACTGTGTCACGGTTACATACAGTTAGGGTTGGGAGATGTTCTTCTTGGAGTTTGGGTTCAAGTTTGATGTCCATTACCCCTGAGAAGTAGTGAAGTACATACCTGAATGGGCAGGCGGCTGTATAAAATCTGGAGAGATGGCCTTGGGGTAACAGTCTACCCAGAAGAAACGCAATGCAACGAAGTACTTACAACTACCTAATGCAAGGCGTCGGAGTAACAATGCACCACAGCCCACGTTTTGCTGACGACATGGCTCCTCACGAATATAAATCGTGGCGCATAATGGCCGCTCCCGCAGGCGAGCGAAATCGGTGATCACAATTGGCGTTCTTCAAGGCCCCGGCACTAAAAATAAGGCGGGTGTATTGCGACAAAGCTGGGGAGGATGTTGATCGCGCCGCCAGCCAGGTGTTGGATCGTCTTCTCTCACCAGATCCCATCATCCTGGTTCAGCCGCTCCTTTCGGGCATCAAAATCTGACCGGATCTCACTTCCACAACCGGCAACCAAACCGCAATGGAGGCCACCTCTGAAGAGAGGATTCGGAGGGACACCAACGCAGATTGGGTCCTGACGTGTAAGTAAGTCATCGACGGGAATAGATCATCGACGTCTCATTTGGGGGATCCCCGGGAGCGGACGCCACCCGGTATGCGCCAGAGCAGCGGGAGCAGCACGAGGAAGTGGGTGATTGGGATAGCTTTCACCCTCATGCAGCTTTTGTGTCGGTCTGATGCTGTGTGACCTGGACCCCTACTCGGAGGGCTAACTGAACCACTGGACTCTGTCCTATGTTGATGGGTACCTCAATCGATTCTGAGAGTTTGAAGCTTGGGCCGTGGGTTATATGGCGGGCGGGATGAATCCCCAGGACCCAGGTACCATCGAGTAGAGTCTAAATCGTAAAAGACGACTCAGGGATGCGTCTCTTACCACAGGTTTGGGACCAAACAGGACCGTTTGCTGGCTTGTGGGGAGTTTTGAAATGCTCGGCGGCACAATGCGGAGCCAGAATAAATATCAACCTCCACTCGAGCAGAAAGGGTGCTGCATAGAAAGAACCAAGAAGGGACTACCATCACCAAGGTAGGTAACGGTGCCGCAGATGGGGTGCCCCGCGCGACGAGCATGATGGCGCGATTGCGTGCTTGGGAAGCACCCCACTCCGTCCCAAAGTAGCGTGCACGACTGAGGGGGAGCACGCATAGCTGTCTGTAACAGAAATTGTCAATGGTGGCATGGCCCAAGGCGATGATCGACCCTAGAATTCCAGGTAGATTCTGGACGTGGGTAGGCTGGAGAAGGAAACAATAGAAAAGGGGAGCTCTCCCCAGCTAGACCTGGCTGTCCGCTTTCATCCCCTCCCGTCCGCAGCTTCTTTGTCAACTATCCCATCCAAACACTGCAGTAGCCTTGGCACCACTGTACTCACCGAGACCTGTTCGCCCTCTGTGATACCCGTTGTTCTATTGAAAGCCTGCCATCATGTCGGACCTGTCCCGGAAGTTCGAGACTCTCCAACTCCATGCGGGGTACGTAGAACGAGCACTCCATCCCCCTGCCGCCCGGAGACATGGAGCACTGAAGAGACTGACGATATCCAAGGCAAGAGCCTGACCCGACTACTAATGCCCGGGCCGTTCCCATCTATGCCTCTACGGTAGATATCACTACGCTCTAGAGGGTGTGACCAGCGAGCGGGCTGACATGCCGCAAATAGAGCTACGTCTTCAACGATTCTGCCCATGGCGCCCGTCTTTTCGGCCTTAAGGAGTTTGGCAACATATACTCCAGGATAATGAAGTAAGTGGAAGCTGATCACAGATGTAAGCGCAGAAGTGAGACATACTAAACGCTCTCAGCCCTACCGTTGATGTCTTCGAGAAGAGAATGGCCGCCCTTGAGGGGGGCGTTGCCGCCGTGGCTGCGTCCTCTGGCCAGGCTGCCCAGTTCATGGCCATATCGGCACTGGCGCACGCTGGCGACAACATCGTCTCGACATCAAACCTTTATGGTGGCACGTACAACCAGTTCAAGGTGCTCTTCTCCCGCCTCGGCATCACAACCAAGTTTGTCAACGGCGACAAACCCGACGACTTTGCTGCCGCTATCGACGATAAGACCAAGGCCGTGTACATTGAGAGCATTGGCAACCCGCGCTACAATGTTCCGGACTTTGAGGCCATTGTCAAGGTGGCGCACGACAAGGGCGTTCCTGTTGTCGTACGTAGACGTGGCCTGTGCTAACAGTAGAGCGTTCAGCTGCTGACACGTTCTAGGTGGACAATACGTTCGGTGCTGGCGGATACTTTGTCCGGCCGATCGAGCATGGCGCTGACATTGTCGTCCACTCGGCGACCAAGTGGATTGGTGGTCACGGTACGACCATTGGCGGTGTCATCATCGACAGCGGTAAGTTCGACTGGGGCAAGCACGCCAAGCGGTTCCCGCAGATGGTCGAACCGTCCGAAGGGTACCACGGCCTCAAGTTTTGGGAGACGTTTGGCCCCATCACCTTCATCATCAGAGTCAGGGTCGAGATACTCCGTGACCTCGGCGCATGCCTGAACCCCTTCGCGGCGCAGCAGCTTCTGATCGGTCTCGAGACTCTGTCACTCCGAGCCGAGAGGCACGCCCAGAACGCCTTGGCCTTGGCAAGATATCTGGAGAAGAGCCCCTACGTCTCGTGGGTGTCGTATCCTGGTTTGGAGAGCCACGCATGGCATGAGACGGCCAAGAAGTACCTCAAGCGTGGTTTCGGCGGTGTGTTGAGCTTCGGTGTCAAGGGTGGTGGTGCTGCCGGTAGCCAAATTGTCGACGGCTTCAAGCTGATCTCCAACCTGGCCAATGTTGGCGACTCCAAGACGCTGGCCATCCATCCCTGGACGACAACTCACGAACAGCTCACCGACGAAGAGAAGATCAGCTCGGGCGTCACCGAGGTAAGAGCTCAAGATGATCGATACATGCGTCGCTGGGTGCTGACAGGACCTTAGGATCTCATCCGAATTTCTGTCGGAACGGAGCACATTGACGACATCATTGCCGATTTCGAGCAGTCGTTCAAGGCTGCCGAGGCTGCGACGACCAAGGATGGTGGAAAGCAGGCTGAAGAGACCAAGGAAGAGAAGGCTCCAGTGGTGGTGTAAATTCGTTTTATTAGAGCAGGCGTCCAATTGAACATCCTTTTTGATGAACAATACTAGCCTTCGAATGACTTGGTGTTGTTGGACAGTGATGGGGTTGAATGTTCAGGGCCCGCAAGAGGGTTGTCAGAAAGTCACAGTTGGGCACTGTATACATGTACACTAAAGTGGTGATGGAATTCGGGGTGGTTGTTAATTGGATTGATTGGTTGTAAGGTGGAAAATCTCTACAGGAGGATAGAGTGCCCAGGGGTAATACCCAGCTAAGTCTACAGGAGGCGTATTTCCAATACACCTCCCTAGTTGAGCCAATTCCTAGCGAAACTGCAATATAAGGCTAAATCGCTCAAATCCAAGGTCTTTTCGAATGAGCTAGAAAATGTATACATTTTCGGTATTATAGGATTTTCTGGTTCCAGGCCTTCCTAGCTTAGGCCTCTATTCTAGAGCTTTCTAGGCCCAGTCTTCCACTTCAGTTAGGGCTCCCTACACTTCCATTGCGCCTAGTCAATCCAATTCCATCGCTATATCGTCGACATTAGTGTCACGAACTAACCGTATATCAAGGCCCGGTGGGGACAGCAAGGACCAATTAAAACATGTAGCACCAGAGTAAGGCTGAACGAGCACATGCAGGAGAGGATCACCAAGGAGAAAGAGTGATCCAACACCAGGATCACCAAGATCACCAGGTGAGCGAGGTGAGCCAGCACAGGATCAC